CAATAAATATGGATGTACAGTTATGTCTTACTTTATGTTGCTTTTGCATTTTTAGGAATATGTAGGAAAGGAATAGCAGGATCATATGGTAGTTCTATTTTTAGTTTTTGAGGGAATTCCATACTTCTTTCCATAGTCAGTGGCTATTTAAATTTATATTCCCACCAACCAAGAATAAGTGCTCTTTTTTTTCCCTGAATCCTTGCCAGCATTCACTATTTTTGTTTTTTCTGTTAGCCATTCTGACTGGGGTGAGATGGAATCTCAATGTAGTTTTGATATGCATTTTCCTGATGGCTAAAGAGGTTGAACGTTTTTTCTTGTACTTCTTTTGAGAACTGTCCAATTAATTTTCCCATTTATTGATTGGATTATTTGCTCCTTTGGTGTTTAACATTTTGAGTTCTTTGCATATTATGTATATTCACTACTTGACCTGTAATAAATGAAATGCATTTTCTCCCCTTTTGTAGGCTGTCTCTTCAGTCTGTTAGTGATTTAGTTTGCCTTGCGGAGCTTGTTAGTTTTATGTAATATTATTTATCTTGATGAGATTTAAGGGACTTATGCTAGAGTCTTCAGGGTCTTTGAAGAATAGGATTATATCATCTTCGAATAGATGTACTTTGACTTCTTCCTTTCCTAATTGTATCCCTTTAATTTCTTTCTGTTGCTTTATTACTCTGGATAAAATTTCAATCATTATATTGAATAAGATGATGATAGTGTATAATCTTGTGTCATTCTGGATTTTAGAAGAAGTGCTTTCATTTTTTCCCTATTTAGTGTAATTTTGGCCAGACCTCTGTCACATATAGCCTTTATAATACTCAGGTATGATTTTCCCATTCTTAGTTTCATCATGGTTTTTATCATGAAGTGTGTCAAAGGCTTTTTCTGTAACTATTGAGATAGTTATGTGATTTTTGTCCATGACTCTATTTAAATATTGAATCATATGTTTTGATTCATGTAAGGAACTTCCTAATAAAGACCATGCCATGTGTGGAAAAGAAAGATTTATTAGGAACCAGACTGCAGGGCTGTCACTCTTGGGTTCACAGTGCAGTGGCTTGGCTGAAAATGGGTAGTGGGCTTTATAGGAGGGTCTGAGCTATGGGGGAGGGAGAGAGTCTCTGGTCTCTGATTATCTGTGATCACCAGATGGAACAGGTCGACATGCCTGGCTAGTTGAGTAACTGAAAGTTCCTGAGGTGTTTTTCAAGCAGAGAAACATGCAGGGAAACAATTAGGGGAGTTTAGCAAGTGATCATAAATCAGGGGGTTTGGTTTCAGTGCTAGCCTCAGGACCTTCTGCCCACCCCAAGAATGCCAGGGACCTAACAATTCATATATGTGGAATCATCATTACATTCCAGAAATTAATCCAACTTGGACCTAATGCTGTATAAAGTTTTTAATATGTTCTTGGAATCAGTTTTCAAGGACATTACTGATAACTTTTGCATCTATGTTCATCAAGGATATTAGTCTATAGGTTTTTTTCTTTTTTATTGTCCCCCTTTCCAGTTTTGCTATTAAATTGCTTGAATTACATTATTCTGACTTCATAGAATGAATTTGGAAGTATTCCTTCCTTTTCAATTTTGTGGACTGTTTTAAGGAGCATTGGTGTTATTTCTACCTTCAAGGTCTGGTAAAATCCAGAAATGAATCCATCTGGTCTTTGATTTTTCTTTGTTGGGAAAGTTTGTTACTACTTCATTGTTGTGGCTCATTATTGTTTATATAGAGTCATTTAGCTCTCATGGTTCTCTCTTGTTTTTTTTTTTTTTCTTCTTCTAGGTGACTAACTGCTGGTCTGGCATTAGCATACTCACTATCATCGTATTTGAGACTGTCTGAGGCTTTAAATCCAGTAGTGTTTGTTCTGTAAAATTAGTAGGGCAAACATTTGTCCACTGTGTGGATTGTTATTTTTATCAGGAGGAGGTGACCTTCTTTGTCTTTTTTGACTAATTTTGGTTTGAATCTGCTTTGTCAGAATTTAGCTACTGCTGCTTACTGCTAGCTTCCATTTTCTTGGACTGTCTTTTTCCATCCTTTCACTTCAGCTTGTTTGTCTTTGCCCATGAGATGCTCTTCTTAAAGGCGGCAAACAGTTGGGCCCTGTATGCTAAACCTAATCTTCCAGTAGTGTCTTTTAATTAGAGAATTAAGAACATCATTCAGAGTTATTAAGGAGTTATGTAGTAACTCCTGTTATTGTGTTGTACATTTGATACTTTTCTAGTCCTTATTTGCTTATTTATTCTTTAGTGATATTTTTTTTTCCCGTATTCTCATGGGCATGTTTATCTCCCTCTTCTGTGTGTATGATTCCTTTAAGTACCTTTTGCAGTTTAGTGATCATAAGTTCCTTTTGTTTGTGTTTATCATGGAAATTCTTTTCACCTTCATTTTTGAAGGATAATTTTGATGGGTATAGAGTTAGGTTGACAGCTATTTTTTTTCAGGGCTTTAATTACATTATTCTATGAGCTTATGTCTTTTAGCATTTCTGATGAATGTGCCTATATATGAGACTTGGTGGTTCTCTCTTGCTGTTTTCAATAGTTTTCCTTTGTTCTGTAAACTCATTTTAACTGTAAAAAAAAAAGTCATGTTTTGGTTCTTCAGCTCTTTTTCTCCCATGTAGTTGGATTATAGGATTGTGCCACAACTCCTGGCTTTTTCTTACTTTTTTTCTTATTTTAAGGAGCATTTTTATTAATGTATATTAATTGTACAAAATAATGGATTTCATTATGACATTATCATACATGTGTATGATATACTTTGATCACATTAACCTCACACTATCCTCTCTTGTTGTCCTCCACCAAATACTTGTTCCCTTTTTCTTCTTCTTTTTTTTTCTTTTTGAAGTTTTAGCAAGGATTTATTTTAGTATAACAGGATAAAATATAGACAAGGAGGGGAAAAAAAAGGAAGAGAAACATTTCCTGTTTCTCATGCAGGAAATAAGAGAAAAGACTCCCTGGTCCCTTTCTTGCCAAACACTTCCCTCCTATTTTAATGTCAATTTTTTTTTTTTTAAATCTAGATTCTACAACTGAGGAAAAAACATGATAATTGTATTTCCTATTTAGGCTTATTTTGCTTAACATAATGATATCCAATTCCATACACTTCCCAAAAGTAAAGTAATTTTATTATTCTTTATGGCTGAATATGGGTTCCATTTCTCCACATTTTTGCCAGTATTTGTTGTTTGTTTTCTTGATGTTAGATATACTGACTGGGGTGGGATAGAATCTCAGTGGTTTTGAGTTGCATTTTCTTTATAGATAAGGGTGTTGAACACTTTCTCATGTATTTATTGGCCATGTGTTCTTTTGAGAACTGTCTATGGAGTTTATTTGCCCATTTATTAATTGGATTACTTGGTGTTTTGTTTAACTTTTAGAGTTCTTCAGATATCCTGAATATTTATCACTTGTTATATGACTAGCTGACAAAGATTTTCTCCATTTCTGAGGGGTGTCTCTTCACTCTGTTGAGTGCATTTCCTGCTGTGTAGAAGCTTTTTACTGATGAAATTCCATCAATTCATGTTCCAATTTCCTTAGCTATTAGTGTGCTACTCTGAAGTTCATTGTCTATGCTTGTATCTTGAAGTATTTGCCCTGTGCCTTCCTATAGTAGTTATTAAGTTTCAGGTCCTACTTTCAGGTCTTTGATCAATTTGGAATTGATTTTTGTACAGGGAAAGAAATAGGGATACAGTTTCTATTTTCTTCGTGTGGATATCCAGTTTTCACAACACTATTTCAGGATTGCTTTGGCTATTAGTGTCTTTTCTGCATCCATATAAATTTTAAGCATCCATATAAATTAAGATGGCAAATGTTATCAATACTTTACTATAATTATAAAATTAAATAAATTTAAAATTAGATATACTAAAATTAGCAATAACCAAAAACAAAAGAACAAAATGGAAGTCTTTCAAATTTCAGTTCAAATGTGAACTATACAAGGTCAAGAAGCAATGAGGCACACCTTTCTTATTTATTAACTGTGGTTTATACATACCTTGAAAGAAAATGTTAAGTGGACTCTTATAATAATCACAGAACACAGAAGGTCATAATCAATAAATTTATCAGATATGTTGCAGTGGCATTAGCTAGTCTGGTTACAGCAAAGTGTAGAAATATTTTCTGTGAGTTTCAGATGTTAATTTATAGAATTTATTGCTTCATTGCTATTGGAAGTTAGCAGTCTGTTCAGCTTAGCAATATATTCTAAAAGTTATACCTCTTAGGCATGAGGATGTTAGGTTGATAGTAAATAAATAGTAAAGTGACTGAGATAGTCCAAGAAAATTTTGCTCTTGACTTCCAACATTGCTTCTCTCTATAATCATGATGTTCTACCCAGTAAATTTCAAATGGTCTACAGGATCTTTAATACAGATGAACATTCTCCAGAGAACTTCAATTCCACAGAAGCAATAGCATAAAAATGATATGACATGACATAACATAAAAAATGTTACAACATAAAAATGATCTCATGGTTGTTTGAGATTGTCATGTATAAAGCCTGGATTGTTTCACACAGACTAGCAGTATAGCCAAGCTGGGCATACAAACTGGGACAACTTAGTGATATTTTTCAAGTGACACACACAGAAAACCCACTGTTGAATATTTGCCATAATATTGACAGAATGATTGCTTAATAGTAATAAATTAAAATTATAGTTTTCATTTTAAACATTAAACTACTTAACACAGTTACTTAATCAGCAGCAGTAATCAGAATAGAACTATTTAATATAAAACCACACAGAGTACTCACACAGGTGTATGAATCATCCTTGCATAATATGGTTATAGAGAATATGAAAAATGACACATTTCACAAGAAGAACATATAACATAAAATGGGATTATGAAACAAGAATAAGTTATTTTACAAATTTGCACAAACCTAATTGTTAAACAATTTCATTTGATGTCTATCACTTGTCATTTGGAACTGAAAATGTTCCTCACCAGGTTGCCTAATGCTGCTTTTACATCTTTACTTCTCAGGGTGTAGATGAAGGGGTTGAGTGTAGGAGCCACCAATCCATAGAAGAGAGCCATGAACTTGGGTTGGTCCCTGGAGATGGAGGAGGGGGGCTGAAGGTACATGCTAATGGCTGGTCCATAACATAAGAAGACTACAATGAGATGAGAAGAACATGTCCCAAAGGCCTTTTTCCTTCCCTCAGATGATCTAATTTTAAGTACAGCATGTCCAATACAAACATAAGAAGCAAGAATTAAACATAGAGGAACAGCTATTACAAAAATACATGCCACAGAAAGCGCCAGCTCATTAGCTTCCTTTTCACCACAGGCAGTCTTTATCAGAACTGGAATTTCACAAAATAAATGATCCAGTTTATCAATGCCACACAGTGGCAACTGTAATGTGAGAGTGACCTCAAAGATAGCATAGGTAATTCCACTCAGCCACACTGTGGTTATTAATAGACTGCAGATGAGTTGATTCATGATGAGGGTGTAGTGCAGAGGTCTGCAGATGGCCACATAGCGATCAAAAGACATAATTCCCAAGAGCAGACATTCTGTGGCCCCTACTGTGCTGAATAAGTAAACCTGAACTGCACATCCTATGTAAGTAATTGTCTTTTTAGAGCTTCCCAGGTTGAACAGTATCTGAGGGACAATGCTTGTGGTGTAACACATGTCCAAAAAGGAGAGGTTGGTGAGGAAGAAATACATGGGGCTGTGTAGCCGGGGGTCTAACCTGGACACCAGGATGATGGTGATGTTTCCCATCATGGCCATGGGGTATGTGATCAGAAGAATGATGAATAGAGGAACTTGTAGCCAAGGGTGGTCTGCAAAACCTAGTAGAATGAACTCTTCAGGGTGGCTTTCATTAATCATTGCCATTTTCTTTAATTTATTTTACATATAATAAAGGTAATAGCAAAAAATTTGTAGACTTTGAGGAAGGGAAAGCATAATTACTTGGTAACTACACACAAAAGATGTAATGCAAAACTTGTAGGAGATAGTCTATAACTTTTTTGATAACAGGTGACCAAATTTCCGTTTATGACAGTACAAATTAAGGCCAGTTACCTTCAATGTGTGTGTTAACCTGAGCCTGAATTTCCTTCCCTTTGTAAGACTGACAATAGATATTTCCTTGAGTTCTGATGAGTATTAATGAAAAGTAGAAGTGATTGTGTTTTTGAAACTCCAAAATAGTGGCTTTCCTCTTTTGCTGTCATAAAAATCAGCTGAGGAAGGTGTCATCACAACCTCTCTCCCAGTGTTTGATATGAAGTGCCGGAATCAGATGGTTTACTTTCAGACATGCTGTTGTGAAAAATTAAAAAAATTAAGACATCTAACATATTGAAATAGTATTAGTACAAGAAGAATACATACAAAACCTGGAGTTACAGAACTCATCAATATAGTCTTATCTAAATCAACTTGTCTCAGTACCATATCATTGGCATGGGTAATAAGGAGATTTTGGGTTTAAACAACTATTTCTTAACTCTTTGTAACTGAGCAAGACGTTCAAAAACTTTGGTTTTTTGAGACAGGCTCTCACTACAAAGCCCAGCCTGTCCTCAAATTCCCAATTCTCCTACCTAGTGTACTGAGTGCTGGGATTATAGGTGTATACCACTAAGCCTAGCTAAGTAGTTCAAACACTTTTAACATGAGTTTACTTAAATATAAATAAAGATAATTTATGACATAGTTTTCCTATTAAGAATTTGTTTTTGATGATAAAGGGGGTAAATTCAACTATGATATACTGTAAGAACTTTTTTAAATGTCACAATGTGCCCCCAGTAAAAAAAAAAAATAATAATAAAGAACTTGTTTTTGTATGTACTTTCTTTTCTTGAATAACTGTTAAGTTCAGACTTTGGTTATTTTGTCTTTTATGTTATATTCCAGTTTGTTTAATATTTAGGGAGTTTTTTCATTATAAAAATAAGGTTATTATTTTATATTAATAAAGGACTTGGAGAGTTATAGGTGAGCCGATTTTTATATATACCTCCAACTATACTTGTTTTTTTGCCATGATGGGTACCCAACCCACGGCAAGTGATCTGCTACTGAGCTGTATTTCTAGTGATTTAGATGGGATATTTAAATAGCATCCCAGTGACACAATTCAGAGTTCCTATGCCTGTCAGTTAGTTGTTAAGCATGTCCAATTGTATTCTTAGGACCACAGGAATAACTTTAAACACTCTATTTTATCAAATCCTCAATGTCGTCCTGTGAGGTTTCTCGCAAAGCTATTAGAGCTCAGATATAAATCTTGATCTTTGATTATATACTACCCTAGACCAGGAATGTGCAATGACAAGAATTAAAACAATAATTCCAACTATCTTTACTGAGCTCTGTATGCCAAATACTTCAATAAGGATTGTATCCCCCTTAAATCATCGAGTTTCCTCCAAATCCTATAACATTCATTCCAATTGTCTGCTAATAACTAGGAAGGTTCTTAAGATCAAAAGACAATCAATGCCTTAAATGAGATACAAAAGTGTAAGTTCAGAGTTTCAGGATTTCAAAAAATGTATCTTTAGAGTTGTTATTTGAGGTATTTTTGTGTGTCCCCTGTACCTTATTTGCCCTTGAAATTATATAATATTTTATATGAGGAAGGAGAATTTAGAAACAAAACTTTTTCTAATAATAAAAACGAAAATTTTTTCAGGAAACAATTTATGTCTTAGATGGTATATGAAATAAGACTTTATAGGATTGTTAAAATGAAGGAATTGTTTTACATTGGATATACTTACATTCATCTGGTTATAGTTTTCTACCCAGTACTGTCCTCCATTTTTTAAAAGAATAATTATAATTTTAGGTTTAATTCTCCAGAAACTCTTTAATAATTAACTATATCTAATTGTAATGACAGCAATTACTCCTCTTTGTTTTCAGAAATTTTATTCACATTAAATGTAGTTGTGCATGTGAGTTGTATTCACTTTATAGCCTCTTCATTTCAGAAAAGATAACAAAGAAAGTGTGATTACTCAATTAGATTTACTCTGAGCCATAATTAAGTTCTAGAATTCTGTCCTTACACTTCACACATTTTCCATGTCATTGTCACATTTTATTACTTGTTATCTCTTGTATTTCCATCTGCCATTTGGATCTTCTATTTCTAGTGATTTTCTATCCATCAGTGTATTTATTCATGAATGCTTAAAGTCACACGAATAAGTTGCCAGACTTAATAACTGTTTATGTCTTTTATCTTCTTCCACTTTTTCATTCTAGTTTAATTCATACTTAATTTTCATCATGCCCAGTATATTAACTATGCTTACATCACCTTTTAACAATATAGATAGTAGAAGATCACAGGAAAAATGTCAAAGTCACTTTTATCTAATACCACAACATCTTGTTGAAACATGTGGAGAAGTTACCTCATAATAAATTGGCAATATATAAAAAATGATTCAGGCTGATAGAGTGGCTCAAGTGGTACAGTGCCTGCCTAGCAAATCTGAGGCAGGCACTAGTTCAAACCCTAGTACTGCAAAAAAAACAAATTATGTTTGATAGTCATATAACTTAATAAAAAATTATGTCATTCAAGTATTTAATACCTATAAGAAATACTCCTTATGATACTTAAATGCATTTAGTTTTATTGAGAGAGAGAGAGAGAGAGAAGAGAGAGAGAGAGATTAACTAAAGAGAGAAGTGTGGTTGCTCTTATAGCCATTGAACTAGATATACCCAATGTTTAGAAAAGGCTTCCTGAAGTGAAGTGCTCTGTGCTTTTCATATGTACTTGAGGCACTGTTACCTACACACATTCTTACTTTCCCTGAGAACGCATGACCTTTAAAAACAAGTGTCTTTTTACTTACCTTATTTTTATAAATATCCTTTAATAAAAAAGAATTGTGAAGGAATTTTCGCACTTCCAGAAAAAGACCAAGAAACTATAGTCCATAGGTGCATTATTTAAGAATTAGATTCAGAACTGTTACTTAGTTGACAAGGTGTTCAGCAGGCTATCTGTGTGCTTTTCCTGCATTCTCTTTGGCATTCTTTTAACACAGTCTATTTATCCTTCTCCCAGATGAGGTAGCAGAGACAGCTCCTTGGGACACAGATCTCTATGGAACTGCTTCTTATGTACAATTACTTGCTGTATCGAAGTTGGGCAAGTCTTTTGTTAGATGTTATTGAAATAAACTCATTTACTTTCCCAATGCACTAGAGCCTAATTTTAAATAATGTACAATTAACAAATAAAAGGTGTATAATAAGGCCCAATCTTATTTGAAGAACTGATTCTTGGGGAAATTAAGTAATTCTTTGAATATATACGTTCATCAATTCTTATGTCAAATAATATGTAATTATTTCTATTCATGAAAATAAAGGCACCCAAAAATGAGGTAGATTAACTAGTAGGCTTCAGGCAGTATCTAAATGTTTCATAGTATTTTATGTTTTTAAAAGAAGATGAAATGACGATCTCTCTCTCTTGCTCTTTTCTCTCTCTCCACACATACACTACATTAGTCAAGTATGTAGATAATGGTAACATAAATTAATTACAAACATACTTTCCAAATAAATCAGTTTCAGAAATAAATTCAAATATGTCAAATAACAGTATTGGAAAGATTTCCCTTTCACAACTTCCTTCTTTGACTCTTCATCTCTTGTAACCATAGGCCAGAATCCCAACTCCAGGTTTTCCAACGTCAGGTCCTAGCACTTGTCCCAATGCACCAAGTAAGGAAAAAAGTAGTAGCAAATGTCAGAGTAGCAAATGTCACTCTCAGCAGAACATATGAGGCTCTCTGTGTTTTGTCCCAAATTGTAAACAAATTCACTTACATATGTATATATATATATAATTTTTAGATACAGATATGTCATTTTTTTCTTAGTGTAGATGAGTGTTAAAACTCAGGCTGGAAGCTCAGCTAACAATATTATTTTTTTCCTAGTAACTTAGGGACTTGGTTTAGTAACAGATCCCTACTGATGCTAGCTCCCTTGAAGGAAGTTCATTAGTAATATACACAAAGAAATCCCTTATTTGCTTTTTTTTTCTTTTTCTTTTTTAAAATTTTATATCTTTTATTCATATGTGCATATGTGCATACAATGTTTGGGTCGTTTCTCCCCCCGCCCCCTGCCCCCTTTCTCTCACCCCCCCACCCTCTCTCTTCCAGGCAGAAACTGTTTTCCCCTTACCTCTAATTTTTTAAAGAGAGAGTATAAACAATAATAAGAAGGACCAAGGGTTTTGCTAGTTGAGATAAGGATAGCTATACAGGGAGATTCCTTGCATTGCTTTCATGTACATATGTGTTACATTCTAAGTGGATTCTCTTTTCTCTAGTTCCTGGTCCCCTTCTCCTATCGGTCTCTGTTGCTTTAAAGTTTCTGCATTAGTTCCTTTGCATTGAGGACATCAAATGCTACGATGTTTTTTGGGGTTTCTTACCTATCCTCATACCTCCTTTGTGTGCTCTCGCCTTATCATGTAACCAAAGTCCAATCCACTTGCTGTATTTGCCCTTGATCTAAAGTCCACATATGAGGGAGAACATATGATGTTTTTGGAGAACATCGCTCAGAATGATGTTCTCCAGTTCCCTACATTTACTTGTGAATGATAAGATTTCATTCTTCTTCGTGGTTGAGTAGAATTCCATTGTGTATAAATACCACATTTTCTTAATCCATTTGTCAGTACTGGGGCATCTTGGCTGAGAAATCACTTATTTGTATTCCTAAATCCATCCCACATTTTGGTAATTCTTCCTTTGCTAAACTTCCACTAACACCCTAGCCTGCGTGTGCCATCTATTTTCTTCTGGGACCATGACTAATATAACTATTCATTCAGA